TGAACATAAACCTGGACTTAAAATCTTAAAATACGGACTAAACCGTAAATATTTGGGACTGGACCGGTCCAGCCGATATGAACCGATCTGAACCGGACCATTGGTCCACTGAACCGGACTGGCGGTTACTGACTTGGCCTGTGGCTTGCCGAGGCTGCGCACATGGGCGCTGGGACTGGCTGACTGGCTGCCTGTGACAATGAACGCGGCCGCTGGACACGCCTGGGCTGCGGACGCGCACTTGACAACGCCCGCAACGCCATTGCGCACAGGCAACGCGCACGCAGCACGGCTTGCGCACGCTGCCTGCTGCACTGCTTTAATGGCCGATGCGCTGCTGCCGCTATGTGCGGCAGCGCGCCTACAACCGAGACTTGCCGGCCTTCCGGCAATATTCTCCAGCCAAACTGACCTTAATCAACACATTCTAACCTGCTTTAAACATAATTACTGAAATTTATTGGAATTAATCAAATTAGGCACTAACAACCACATGAGGCCCGCGGCGGCACATCATGCGCCGCTAGCGACAATGGCCGACACTCGGCCACCTTAACCATTTTCCTCCTTTACCTCAGCCACTCCAGAACACATAAACATGAATTGTTATTTAAAGGCTGAAATATTACAGTACACGTAATCATCTTGACTGAAATCTTAAATCCTATCATGGCTTAGAAGAGTCCGTGGTCACGCGCGGTGTGCGCGGCCATCCCCTCGGCCGGACCTCCCATTAGCAAAATCATAATCTAACAAACTGATTAACTGAATACATAAATAATTACAGCTGAAAAAGAACTTATACATAGCCATGAATTAATTCTCTGAACATAAACTAGACACAAGCCCTTACGTAGCACAGCCCGGGGTTACGCGCTCGGTACGCGGCCACCTTCTCGGCCGGCCTTAGCACTCAAACGGATAAACATATAGTCCCTCAAACTTGAACTTGATATCAAATAATTAACCAAATCAGGTTTGATTACTGAAGAATTCCAAAATAAACATAAAATTTAACTGAATTCTACACATAACGCACGCACATAAACATTCTCGGACATAGACGGCCAATCAATCCGAGACTTCAACAAAAAAAAAACTAACTAATCTACTCTCGTATGATCAACTCAGAGGTGACCACAATTTACCTTCTCAAAATCTTGATTGAAATCATAAGGTTTGATCGAAACCCCTCCTAATTTCCTGTGTATGCGTGCGTCCGGTGTGGCGCGGAAAGGGTGCTTGAGGCGTCTTCTTGCTATGCTTGGAGGACGATAGTGTTGGACGATTCTAATCTCTCTCACCCTCCTCTGAATTCTCATTACTGGACTATGCCCTTTCTCTCTTTCTTTCTGAAGAAGACGATTGAAAAGAAAAGAAAAACATTTGATTTCCCCTCTTACATCACTTAGGCCCAAAGAAAACAATTTAGGAGGAGACGTGGCTTTCAAATAGCCACCCAAGGGATGACTCACTTACTCCCAAACTTGCCACATATCAATTTAAAAGATGAGGAAATAAATTGGATTTTTAATTGGAGAAACACTTACAGCAATGTGGATAAATAGCCTAAGTCTCGACTATAAACATGATTATTCCTTACTTAACCCTCATTAATGTTAATTAATCTTAATTAACATTAAACTAATCATGATTATCTTAAACTAATCTTGCTTAATTAGCTTTAACATGATTAAGTTAATTAAGCACGGTTAATGACCATTACTTAATTAACAATGGACGGTGTACCAATGTGAACGCGTCACAGTATAGGTATACCGAACTTGACATGAGGAACTTTAACTGGATTAACTATCGGAATATTATTCCGAATATGCAACTGATATTCGAAAGTTAATTCGAATATTCTTGACTTAGACGATTAATCCGAACATAAATATTTCGAATAATTCGTCAACTTGGCTTATTAATTCCAGACTCATTAACTAAGTAAAT